TCGCTTGCAAGGATAGACTGTGCAGAGGTGGACTTTGGCCATTTCTTTCTCTCTCAGTCTCACACACATATACCCACACACATAAAATCACCCACTTGAGAGAAAAAACAAAGATGCCTTAGTCCTCTCTCCTCCTCCTGAGAGGTGGAGTCAGGAGGAGAGAAAGCAGGCTTTCTTGCCATCCAAGGAAAGTGACTAGCCCCGGTTCCATCCAAACCTTCTCAGGCCACCCTGCCTTGAGAAAGGTACTCTGCTTCAGTTAATGTTTCAGAATCACAGCCCTATCAGGGTCTCAGCTGGTTGCCGTGGAAATCTTGTGGCACCCAAAAGACGAACACGTTTTTTAAACAATTCTTTATTTTTTTATTTTTCGTGAATTATAGTCCCCAAATAACCAGGAGTCTTGTTGCACTTTAAAGACTAATAATATTTTGTTCTAGCATTGGTTTATGCTGGAATAACACTAAATAATGCCACAAAAGCGCCACTCATTTTTCCTGCCATGGACAAAGTGGAACTCACACCTGAGTATGCTTGCCTGGGATTGCAGCTATAGGCAGACTCTGACCCCTAAAAAAGGCCTAGAAGATCTATTCCTGATTGTACAAAAGCCTTTTAAAGTGATCTTAAGTTTAGGGATGACTGACAGTTGTCCTCATATCAGGAAATGTGGAACAAAAATGGAGCTAAGAAACATCTTTATATCTAATAGCCAAGGCACCCCCTGCATGCGGATATCTAAATCCACACATCGGGGGCACCTAGGGGGCAAAGAGATTTTCCTGCACATTTGGGGCAATCCCCAGAAGTGCAGAAAAATCTGAAAAGTTGAAAAAAAGTATACGGGAGATATTTAAATCCCCCCAAAAGTAAAAGAGCCTTCCCTGTGCGTGAGCAGAGAAAGCACTTACCAATAGGAACTGTGGCTGCTGGTGGCGGCAGCGTGGAAAGAGAAGCCTTGGGAGCCACAGCCATTGCTGGAGGGGGAACCTGGCCGCCCCAGTGGCTAGGAGCCACGTTGGGCTTGCCGCCATTGCTGCTGGCAGAGGTGGCTGTGGCAGCGGCGGGGGGGGGGGAGGAGAGCCGCACAGGGCTCGCCGCCTTTGCTGCTCACGGCCATGGTGGCTGGGGGGGGGGAGCCTCGGAGGACCGGTGGCTAGACTCAGCCGCAGCCGTTGCTGTTGTTGTCGGACGGGGGGGGGGAATTCAGGTGGGCCCAACGGCCCGCCTGCTGGGCTCACCTGCAGTTGCTGCTGCATCCTCCTCTGTGCGGAGCTCCTGGTGCTTCAGCAGGTGAGCCACCCGGGAGCTGCGGGGAATACTCCCCCCCCCCGGCGAGTATCGCTGGTCCCACTTCTTGTTCTCATCTAAATACATGCCTTAAAAATAAAGGAAGCTTCCAGAATTTCTGTTTCCCAGATGACTTTCAACCCCTCGAGGTTTGCTTTCCCAGATTCCTTTTATTTGTTGATCTACTTGTCATGGCCCTTTCAGCAACATTCCAGTTTGGAAATGCTACCTTGAATCCCGTGGTGTCCATCATATTGACACCAAGTGGGGCTGGCATGGTCCTAGCATGGCCAGTGGAAAAGGAGGCAGGAATCTCTGGCACAAGGAATGAGATGGGGATGTGATCGCAGAAGGGTGGACCCCCAAAAGTTCCTGAATCCCCCCCTTCTTGCAATGCAAGCTCAGCATGGATGCTTTGAAGACCCTCCTTCTCTTCCTCCCTCCCACCTTTGCTAGGATTGTTTGGACAACTTCCCCCCCCAACAACGCGTGCATATCGCAAATAAAGAAAAGGCTCTCTCTTTTCACAGGCTTCCTATGGCGGTGGGAGGGAGGTGTTAAAAAATGATCCACTCCAGGTGCCAAATGTGCTAGGTATGCCACTGGCCATCCCATCTCTTAAAATCTGTCAGTGCGGCACTGCTCAGGATATCTTCACAGACAGGTAGCAGATTGCTGTCCACTAGCAGCAGGAGCTTCATTGATTGCCCCCAAACTGTGAAACTATCTCCCTGTGAAGGTCTTTTGGATACCTCACTCGCACACAGGCAAGTGAAAGGTTTTTTTCTTTTTCCATCTTGCTTTTGATGCTGGAATTCTACTGATGCTGTTTTCAATATTTTGAAAATTGCCCTGACTTCTAATATAGAAATGGTTTAGACACTTAATAGATAAAAGGTTGGCTTCTTAAGGTTAAAACAGCTCATTAATACACAATACAAAATTAAAGAACCAGTATGGTATAGTACTTAAAACTTTGTACTAGGAAGCAGAGTTACACTCTTCTAATTGACTGAGAAGGGTGTAACTCTGATTAGAATGGTGCTGTAGTACAGCTTCCCCTCTGGAAATACTGTTCAACCAATGAAACTCATTGGGCAGCTTTAGGCCAGTCACTTTCTCACAGCCCAATGCACCTCACTGGGCTGTTTTGAGGATAAAACAGAGGGAGAGAGAACCCTCTATAACATCCTGTATTCCTTAGAGGAAGGTTAGGATTAAAATCTAATAATATGTTAGATGGTAACTAAGCTTGAACAGCCAGGAGAGTTGGTCATGCATAGCCTATCAGTATGTGGTGTACCTAGCTTCTCTGCATATCTGAGCAGTTGTGGGAGGGTGAAATCGTCACCTTACTGCATGATTGGAGGGTGCAAACAAATTCCTCTTTTTTGGTTTCACTACATATAAGCTGCCTCTTCATGTGATTATTGCTGCATTTGTGAATTTAAAAGGGATTTCATTTTTATTGCTGTGTCTAATCAGGAAGGGTATTGTATACATTTTACAAAATAATATACAAATAAATACATTAAGACTCTCCAGGTTTGCAGTTTTGCTCCAACATTTCATACTTAATTTTTTGTAAGGCAGGCATTCAGGATCTTTACATACATAGTTACTTGAGCATATGGAGCCTCAACAATAAATGGTGGTAAATATATAGAATGATTTACTTATTGTATGATTAATAAAATATTTATAGCCTGCTTTTCCTTCCAATCAAGGGTGCCCAAAGCGGCAAAGTCCAAAATAGGTACAACCCAAGAACAATCCAAAATAAAATTGTAACATTGCAGTCTTAAACAGAGCTGCTTAGAAGTGTGTAAATCTATTTAGGGTTGTCCATCAAAGGCCCTCCTAAACAGCACTACTTCTCGGAGCGGCACAGACGACAGACAGGAAATATCTTTTATGGAATTTATTAAGAAAATATGCCTAGTACGTTCAACTAATTCAATAAAAAATATCATGCACACATACAACCAAGAGGTAAGAAATTAAGGGTTGAGGTGATCTTAAAAGATCAGAGACGGAAGAGGGCGAAGTGTTGATGGGGTAATAGCTACCTTCTGAAGAGAAGAGTCCATGGCGAAGAGCAGACGGCAAGCATGTCCATGAAGACCCAAGAGAGACAGGGAATCCAGCCAGTATGAGTCCCAGGTGACTGAACCAAAGATGGCTGGGTTGGGAGCCTGGTTATAAGGAAATTGTGCCTGCAGGGCCGCGAGGCACAATGGGGGAAATGGTCCTGAATGGACCGGAATAGGTGATAATGACTTGAAAAGGGGTTTTAGACAAAGAAAGTCCAGGTTTGGGAAGGAAGACCTTTGTTAGTAAGGCATGGGGCAATTGTATAGGCTTGGCTCTATCAATGGCTGGGCTATCACAGGATGACAATGGACCATGTCTAGGGTGGTCCCAGAATTGGGGGCAAAGTCCGGAGGTGCAATTGTAAGACGTAAGGCTGGAATGCAGGTATGCTGGCACCTTTTGAAATGGTGAAACTAAGGCATTGTCGTTGTATGGTGGCAGCTATGTGCTGGCTGCATCTGAGCTTGACGGCTGAAGGAGTCAGAGAGAGACGGTCCTGAGCACACGTCCAGGCTTGTTGGCCTTGCAGACAGGGAGGGCTGGCCTTGCCCTATGCCAGCTTTGGCCCTAAGCTGCCCAGGATGCTGACCTTCATGTTGCAAGGGGGAGGCTTCTGCTAGCAAGTTATGTTAAACTAAGACTATATTGGCAATAGATCGACTTTATATTGTATTTTAATAGAACCGGATGGTATGAAACACATATATGATGAACGCAAATTAATCTGGGCTATCTAAACTGCATGTGGGCTGGTCACTGCTCAGTGTTAATGTGCGGGAGGATCATACAACCGGTGTTCCCCATGTGACCCAGCAGGGATCAGGTACAGGCATTGATCTTATGAGTTGGCTCATCCATAAAGAGATTGCAGGAACCAGATGTCCAATTTGAGCAGTCACAGCTTGCGTTTTTCAAGCTGCTGCGATGGCACAAACCACAGCAGTCCCACGGCTCCACCCACCGTGGAATCATCATTTCATACAGTCGATGCTTCTGTGCAAACGTAGCTAGGTCCCGAACCCATCAGCAATCCCACATGCTCCCGGCTCCTCTTTATCCGCAGTATCATCCTGACTTCTCAACTCGCCTTACACACGTACTGAACCAGTGCCTACGTTTCCTATACTGATTCCATTCTGTTTTGCCCCTGCTTTAAGCAGGTAGCCTGCCTTTTTAAAATATATCTTAAGATATTATACTTGTTTCTCCTTCACTTTACCCCCCCATGAACCTTCCATGAAAACAAAACCCTCCTGAACTTTTTGTTCTTAAAGAGGGAATATTACTTTGAGGATTGGGAGAGGTGATGATGTTACAAAGCTGGTGTTGCTAGCCAACAGATACCTGCAAAGGCAGCTTTTCCTTCATGTATTGGAAGCTTGCAATCCATTTCCCCCCCTGAGCTTTCTTCAAGACTTTAAAATGTACACGTGTGTTGTTGTTTTTGCCAACAGACTTAAAATCTTTACATCTGTTTTCACCCTTAATATTCTGCCCGAGTAAAACAATTGAGGCTATTGGTGGTTTTGGCATTTCTGAGTCTCCCAAAATAACGGGTTAAAGGCCCCGCTGTCTTTCTCTTTTCTGAGACAAAGTTATTTTATTATTTTGGACAGGTTTCTGGGATTCTGCTTTAAATCAGAAGCGAGGAGGAAGGCTTTCCCACCCTGGGAAAGGTTCTGCTTTTGCAACCGCCCACGCAACAAAAATTAAAAAACCCACCCAGTGTTTTGCAAGCGGCAGGAACAATTGTTCATGTGAAATTGAGCTGTCAGTCGGAAGTGACAGGCTGTGGTTTGTGAATCCTATTTTTATAGAAGAGAGAAGCAATCCATTTCCCCTGAATGTGCCTCCTCAAACGAGCTGTAGGGAGACTCTTTCTTCAGCTCCAGACGTTGTGACACGACCCATCAAAAGAACTCCCAGCCGTCGCCCTCCGCCTCCACCACCACTACCACCTCCTCCGCATGCTCTGAAGCTACCTGTGAAGTCTCCTGAGACTACATCTGAAGAGGACCACCTTCGGCTTCAGGAGGTAAAGGACATGAAAGCAGAGGTCAGTAAAGAAAAAGAAAATGATGGGGAAGCACCCTTTTCTCCCAGTGGCCATTCACCTGCAAAGACAAGCAGTTCCCCTCCATTCATTCCACCAAGAAGGTGTGTGTCTGAAAGACCTTTGGGGAAAAGTTGTGCTGATAAATCTGGAAAATGCACACTGCCAGAAAAGGAACCGGCAGGAAAACAGAGTGATGGGACTACAGGACATGTTAATAACATTCAGGGTGCTGAGGCTCCACAGGAGGCTACAGAGAAAGACCCCTCACAATGTCAAGAAGCAACACCTGATATGGGCAACTCCGAGATGACACAGGACGAGATGCAGAGGAAGCCTTCAGAGAAGCCAGTTGGGCCACCCATCCCTCCCCCAAGAAAAAAGAGGCTCTCTAGACAGGCATCGTCGGCCAGCTCTTGCCTTTCCAAACAAATGAGCTTTGAGGAGTCGGAAGCGCCTGCGCCACAAGAAGACAAGCGGCCTGTTAAAAAAGCCTGCTTCGATGCAAAAAGGAAATCGAGACTTGACCGTAAGCTTGTCACTTTATCAGATCGCAAAGGCTCGCGTGACTCTCTAAACTGCCCAGTTAGCAACACGTCGGCTCAGACTTCTGCCTCTGAGCAAGACTCCTATTCCACCAGCAGCACAGAGGATGAGACAGAGCAAGTCACCAGTCCCTCCATTAAGAAGACCCGCTCCTTGCTCCTAGGCCGAGCCAGGCACCGCCTGTCCATGGTCAGCTTGAGTAATGTCTTCACGGCTTTCCTGTCTGCTGACCGAAAGCTGCAGAAGAAGATTGTGGAGCTGGCCCAGGACAAGGACTCGTACTTTGGCAATTTGGTGCAGGATTACAAAGTGTATAGTTTGGAGATGATGGCAAGGCAGAGCTCCAGCACAGAGATGCTGCAAGAGATCCGCTTAATGATGACACAGCTGAAGAGCTACTTAGTACAAAGTACAGAGCTGAAATCTCTGGTGGACCAAGTGGTTTACACCGATGACCAGCTGGGTAAGTGGTTCCATTTTGCTCGTCCGAGGAGCCCATCGGTTCCCAGAATGGCAAGAAACATGAGAAAGGAGCAAGTTAATAAAATACTTAGGAGAATCATTAAGTTATGATGAAGGCTGGTGGTTAAAAGATGGAACAATGACTGAGTAAGACAGTGTACTGAATGTCTGCCACAAGTCCACTCTGTGACCCTAGGGCTCAAACAGATAAAGATCATGTGCTTTGTCTATAAAAAACATACTGCTGGCCTGTGCAGCTTCAATTTGCCTTAGGGCCATGTAGAGAAAGGAGCAGGCCTGTAGCTAGGATTTGGTTGGGGGAGGGCTTTTAAATTTTAAATGGGGCTTAAACTAAAGCCATGGGGGGTGCAAAATGCATGGAGAAGAAAGCAAGTTGGATCAGGACCAAGGTGTGGGGAGAAGAGTGGCCCACCTAATTGGACATGGCCGAGGGGTGGTGGTGGTAGACTCTATTTGCTTCTCCCTGCGAGCCTATGCTGTCCTGCTGCAGGCTGCCTTCCAGAGCCTCCTGGGTAGCCAGGCCAACCAGGCCGTGCGGGATAAGTGCCACCGGGGGGGAAGCGAAAGAAGCCGGCGGGAGCCCAGGGGTGGGGGTGGGGGTCTCAGTAGTTCTCTTCCCGCGGTGCAGCCATGGCCTGCCTATCTCGGTCGCTTCCCCTAAGTTGATTTCTCTGGTTGCAGCTGGGTTCACTGCTTGGTTATTAGCATTTTAAAGGAGAAAAGGTGTATCTTTTTAAAATGTGTACTTCCCCTTTTAAAATGCTCACAATAAAGCTGATAGCCCAGTTTTGAACCGCAGAAACAAGTGGCGGTTGAAGGGTTAAACACTCTTTTCCTTTCTGTGTGGCCCGGAGGTAAACAGGCAGTATGAGCTTTTTATGGACAGAGTGAGACTTGTGATCTTTGTTTCATCTGTTGAAGCCCAAAGTAAAGCGATTTTTTTCTCAGTCTCCGCTGCACCCTGCCATAATAATGACCTACCATGCCAGATTGATGTAAGGCTTACAAGAACATAATGTGGGTGAAGCAGGCTATTCAAAGGAATAATAATGATAATGATAATAGTAATAATAATAATGCGATGGTGGTGATGATGATGACGATGTTACTGCAATTATTACTTGATAGCAGTGGCTAAGCCTAGATATTTATGCTTGCAAAGTAGGGGTACTTTACTTGTTTCAGAAGGACATCATCACATGAAGCTGCCTTGTAACGAGTGAGACCCTTCGTCCATCAAGGTCAGTATTGTCTGTCCAGACTAGCAGCAGCACTCCAGGGTCTCAGGCAGGGGTCCTTCAGTTCTCCTACTGCCCCATCCTTTTAACTGGAGCTGCTGGGGATTGAACCTGGGACCGTTTGCATGCAAAGCGAATGCTCTACCACTGAGCCACAGCCCTTTCCTAAGTCTGAGTTTGAAACTGATAATTTCAGCTTTTAAACAAAATGTCCTTGAGCCTGGATGCAGAGAAAACAGGTCACGGGAATGCTGTTCTGGCACCATTTTTTGCTAAACTGACAGAATGCGTTTGTATTTCTCAAGGAGTTCCAATTGGTCCATGTGACGTTACCTCATTTTGATATCGCAATACTATAAGTTGAGCCAGACTGAGATGATGAACTGTCCAAGGCCACCCAGTGAGTTTCGAGTGTTAATACCGGTCTTTAGACACAAGAATTCTAAATGGCCCCCAGACTCCCCCCACTTCTAACTAAATTCAATGTTTAGAGATCAACTGAATATTATTTTGGAGGTCTCAGATAGCATACAAAGAAGAATGTTGAGAGAGGTCAGGTTAAGGCACTGATCAAGGGTGCCACGGTTTTTCGTTTACAGTTCTCTTCCTCATAGAACTTTCACTTCTTGTTTCACTGTGGTGCTGTATGATCATAGTATAAGTGCAGAAAGTCTGTTCGATTGGGTAAGAAGCTGGAATGAAACCTGCCCTATCTGAAGAACTGAGTAATTCTTTTCCCTTCCCCATTGCGTTCAAAATCCTTGTTGCTCATCTACTCAGAAGCCCTCTCTTTCTGCGAGGAGAGAACATACATAAGAAGGGGCGTGGGAATGAATGCACTGGCCCCACCCCTGTAGCTGATCATACTTGGGCTGTGCCCCCATGATCGAGAATGTTGCTTTTTTAAACATTCCACAGAGGTAGCCTAAAGGAGTACATTTTGTCTCCTGCTCCCCCTCTAGGTGCTTCTCTTGGTGTAGTGGTTAAGAGCAGCGGACTCTAATCTGGAGAACCGGGTTTGATTTTCCACCCCTCCACATGCAGCCAACTGGATGACCTTGGGTCAGTCACAGTTTTCTCAGAGCTGTTCTCTCAAGAGCAGTTCTCTCAGCCCCACCTACCTCACAGGGTGTGTCTGTTGTGGGAAGAGGATGGGAAAGGAGACTGTAAGCGACTTTGAGTGAAGGGCAAGGTATAAATCCAACTCTTCTTCTTAATCTGAGATTGGTCATCTGAAGAGGGCTCGCACCATCTTGTGTCATGTGTTGCACAGAGAGACTGAGAAAGTTGCCTTCTCCGAGTCAGTCTAACGGCCTCTAACTTGTGGAGGATCTCTGAAGCAGAGATCGTTCCCAGCCCTGCATCCTGAGATCCCAGAGGCTGAGACCAGACCTGGTGTCTCAAGTACAATGTACGACTGCACCTGTGCATTGCTAACGTCTTCTAATTAATGGCCCTGCCCTGTGCAGCATGGCATGGCAGAAGTCTGGAAGGCAAAGCTTCCCTGGCATCAGTCTAAAGTGATGGGGAAAGTTTGCCAAGACAGAATTTCTACATATTGTTGCAATTTCTACATATGGCTGTTAAAGGCACAGGAGGAATGCGACTAAAACAAGCTGGTGATCCCTGTTTGGGTCTAGAGCTTTTTAATCCCACCCCACCCTTCTTTCAAAAAACAAAAAAGAACAAGAGGGGGGGAAACTTAAAATCCAGCAGCTAAATAAGATTTTTTTAAAAAAGCTGTACATAAAGACAAGCCAAAAATATAATGACAGTGATGGCGAATCTACACATAAGTTTCTATAAAGTTTCCAAATACCTAAAAATAAGTCAGTACGCAACTGCCATCTATATGTCATGCATTCACATGCTGACAGAGTTCTAAGGTCCTCAATCCATTGATTTATCAGAGATGGGCTTTTATCTTTCCAGTGCTGTAATCGATGTTCCCTCTAAGCTCCACAGTCTTGGGAACAGAAATTCTACCCCGTGAGCAAAAATGCTAATAGCATGAAAGTTGTGAGCAAGTGTACATTTGACTTTAGCATAAATCAGTTTTTAGAAGATTATTTCCATAACCTTGCAAAAATCTCAGAATGAATTCTTTTAAACTATGTTTAAGCTATATTTTAAGAATAATTTAAACATTATAACAGAAAGCAGAATTAAGTCAGATTTCATTACAGGACATGTCCTGTATAGAGGTAGACCTGGCCTCTGGAGAACAGGTCTACCTACCCCTTTCCACTATATTGGTAGACCTGGCCTCCAGTGAACAGGTCTACCTGCCCCAGTCCACTATATTGGTAGACCTGGCCTTGGACCATTGCCCTGTGCTGAGCCTTAGAAAACATACCAGTACTTGGGGG